TTATTATTATTATTATTATTATTATTATTATTATTATTATTATTATTATTATTATTATTATTATTATTATTATTATTATTATTATTATTATTAAGTAAAATAGCATTAAGTACTACTTTTTAACATATGGATGCATCTAGTCATTTATGTGTTCTTTTATGTCTTGTTTTATTGTTAAACTATCAGTGATACTGTGTCCAGACCAGCTTGACGTTTTTCTTGTAATTTAAAATTTAATTGAGCTTAATTGATGAATCATGTCTCCAAAAATGGCTGCACTGGGCCCTGCACCTTGTCAATTGAGCGGTAAATAGAGCGGAATTAAATTAATAGCCTGCTGTAGCCACGGCGATTGTTTATTTATTTATGAACAGGTTGACAAAGCTGATGAGTCTAAAATGCAAATAAACAACTAAATAAATAAAGTTGTCTCGTTTAAACAAATGAGTGAAAAGGAGAAAATGGCTCTACATTAAGGTGCGTTATTCTCCTCCTGGTGCGTTCAGGTTCCGCCAAAGGTCTTCTGTCTGGAGGTGAGGGGCTCGCGCGGCGGCCGCACCTGTCCCAGCCTCTGCTGCAGGATTATAAGAAGGAGCAGGAGAGACCGTGCCACCAAATGTCCCCTCTGTCGGAGGACAGACACGCGGACGGCGCGGACAAGCAGAACTCGGCCAAGAAGAAGACGCGCACGGTGTTCTCCCGGAGCCAGGTGTACCAGCTGGAGTCCACCTTCGACATGAAGCGCTACCTGAGCAGCTCGGAACGGGCCTGCTTGGCGTCCAGCCTGCAGCTGACGGAGACTCAGGTCAAGACGTGGTTTCAGAACCGCAGGAACAAATGGAAACGGCAGCTCTCTGCCGAACTGGAGGCGGCCAACATGGCGCACGCCTCTGCACAGACACTGGTGGGGATGCCGCTGGTTTTCAGAGAGAACAACTTGCTGCGTGTGCCGGTTCCCCGCTCCATCGCCTTCCCGACGCCTCTTTATTACCCGGGGAGCAGCAACCTGCCGGCGTTACCTTTATACAACCTGTACAACAAAATCGAGTACTGATCACTGCAGTAAAACAACGCATTATAAAACAATACAGCGTTCTTATAACCTCTTGTGTATTACCCATTCATATTTTATTTACCCGCTTTCCTTTTTCCGGGTCAGGGGGAGAAGATTATATGTCCAGTTGTTTTTTTTTTTTGTTGTTTTTTTTGAGAAGTGGGGGACACCCTGGACAAGTGCAAGTCCAACGCAAGGCCACATGAGCAAACATGTGTTCACTCATAGGAGCAATTAAAGCAATTGACCTAACATGCATGTTTTTGGCAACCGGAGTCTCTTGTGTATTACTTGTCTCATTTTATTTCTTGGAGAAAAAAAAAACTTAAGAGAAAGCAAACAAGCTTCCCTATATGTATAAAATACACCATGTGTATAATGATTCTGAACATGTTTGTACATTTTTTTTCCTGTTTATTTTTGGATTTAATTTAAAGTTTTAAGTCACAACTGAGAATTCAAAAAGAGCTCCTTTTACAGGTTTTAGCTAAAGCTGGTTTGAAAAAAGGAAAGAAGAAAAAAAAAAAGTCATGAATAAGTCATATTATTTTATTAAAAAGATAAAAAAAAATCATTGTTTCTTTTGTAATTTAGACACTCAGTTATGACTATATTCAATAAATTTTTCTATTCCCGTGAACATTTAAATTGTTTGGTTTTATTTTATGGAGATTTTGTTTTTGCATCTTTAAACTTACATTTTGAAATAATCACAAATAAATACAATAACCTCAATTAAAATAAGAAGAAAAACTTGAAGCACAGGTAAATTAACACCAAGCACCAAGTTAGTTGACTTCATTAGGTGAAAGAAATGTTTTCCACTGATTATGCCTGCCAATTGGCTGCCTTTCCAAAACTACAAAACAAAATAAAATATTAACAATTCCCAAGTCCAGTATTTTTTCTTAGAGCATTTTATATCTTTGAAATAAACGTACTGACCAGATTTAGCAGCAAATAAAAGGTGGATGTAGTTTTAGAATAAAGCCTTTTTCAGGCTAGAAAGGAGATGCTCTCTATCATTAGCCAATCCTGCCTCCGGGCGGGATCTTCTCTCATTTGAAGTCTACCTCCAATAGCTCCGGAGCATCAGGCCTTGTAAGGAGAAACCTAAGACTTAGGCACGTTGTAAAAGTTCAAGACTCTAGCTGTCACTGAGCTGCACTATTCTCCACTTGGATGGTGCAGATACTGCCCGGAATTCAAAATGAGGCCTCACATTCAGCGGCGTTTTATTTTTCCAAACCCTCACAACTCACACTATCAAAAGATATAACATTTTATATCAATTAAAATATTGTGTATCTAAACGCTGCACATGGATCACTGCAACGCCCACAGGCTCTCAGCTGTCTCGTGGATGAGAAGCAATAAAACTGTGCAATTTGCCCGCTTTTCTTGGGTGTCACATCACGTACAAGGAAGAACCCTTCCACTTAACCAACCTCTCTATCCATCCCACCGTGCTCTCTCCGTCCCTGCGTGCTAATGGCTACATTACCTGGCAGAGTCATGACTAGCCAGGCTCTGCTGCCTCGCAGATTATGCCTGACCCAATTTCTGCAACAGTCTCCCCGTGTTTCTGGGAAAATGGATGGCGTTAGACAACAGATGTGATTTATGGGTAGCTGCAGCTACAGCGAAGAGGTGAGGTGCAGGAGGATGGATTTGTGACAGATAAGAGAGAGCGAAAAGAGAGACAGAGAGAAGGATGGTGGGGTAGTAACGCTTAGAAAAAAAAGAGCAATAGCTTTGCTTGAATGAAGCTGTTTATTAGTTTCCAAGTGGTCATTATGTCATTGTGTGAGACGACAATGTGCTTCTCTTTTGGATGGATGCTTGCACCCCTGTGACTTGTGGGAAATCTGCATGACCTGTCACCCTCAGATGCTTGATTTACAAGACGGAGAGCGAGGGAGATGTGTGCAGATGCTGCGAGGAGCAAACGAGAGAAAGACAAGAATAGATGTGAAGCGCAGGAGAGTCTTTGATGTAACTCATTGCAATGGCAGGCGTGAATTACAGATTTTAATAGCAGGGCAATGAAAATGATTTGAGGGGGTTTAAACTGCAAAGAGACGGCGATTGGCATGGCGATGAAGATTTGCGGAGATGATATGTTTTGCCTTAGGATTCATCAAACCAGCCTGGTAAGGTGAAAAGCAAGTGTAATTCACTCTGAGATAATTTATGAAGGGAAAAATGGAAAATGAGGGCTACACACAGCAGGAAGGGAAAGGCGAAGCAGTAACGTGCTGGCCACATTGATTCTGTGGGAAATTTTCCGAGCAGATTTAGAAAATCGTCATGAATCGTTCGAAAAACTTTCAGAAATCCCTTGACGTGAATCAAAACTCTGCTGAGTTCAAACAAGATGCAAAAAAAACATTTGATCTGCCTCTATTAATCTCATCTCAAGATCCCTTTCTTTCACAAATCCCACCCTTTCTTTATTTATTTGGACAAGAGCTGCTCAACTATAGCGCCCAACATATTTACAGCCGTTTGATTTCAAATGAAAACGAGTGGCTTCTTATTAAAATGAATGGATATGAGGTGTAACACCACGAGCAGATGCAGAGCGTCGGGTCTGCCTCAAGACAAGAGTTTTAAAAGCGATCGCAATGCATTAAGCCAGACAACTCTCAAGACCTGTTTGCTCCCTAAATGAATTTGAGAGGAGCATAACAAGGTTTTTCAGGCAGGCCCTGTCATCCGCTGGCTTTAACCAGCTGCTGTATTTATGGGTTAATGGTTAAAAAAGAGAGCTTGGAGCAGAAGTGATTTTTTATGATTCTGTTTTATATCAACTGGAAATGAAGGAGCTGAAGGGAAATTGTGTTTGCTCCCCTCCATGTCCCTCCTCTCCCCAGTCCCTTCCCCTCAACAGAAGAAGAATATGCCACCAGGCAGTAGGAATGGGAAATATATGGATTTATTATAGAAATTATTTGGAAATCATATAAAACTATATGGGGCAGAGAGTAAAAATATATTTTTTGTGTGTGTAATGTTTGCATCTGGTTTAAAACGAAACATGTCCGTAGCAAAATTAGTTTGCTTAAACCCGTAATAACTGAGATTTTGAGGTTTTTTTTTTCCTTGTAAAGGTTAAACAGCTCTCTTATGTGAACCACAATGAAAAGCTTTCAGTCTCCAAGTTGAGCTTTTCAAGAAATATGTTTAACCAAAAATTGTAGATCAGGCCTTCATTGGCAAACTGCATTTTGCTTCATTGTTAAATTACCGACCATTTCTTGAACTGTCTGTTTGAAGTGCCACTCACGGCACAATATGCATCGGACTATTGCAAACTACAGTATATGTGGAAAATTCAGCCATTACTCAAGAGATAAGTCCATTAGCAGTACCTTTGACACAATAATGGCTGTGACATACAATTTTCTGCTCTCCATTTTGTATTTGTAGGGATAATAGGGGGATTATCTTGAAGGCCTTATGTTACACACTCAAGCGTGAGACCACCGAGACAGAGAGCTCTGCAACAGTTGTTTTCACATCCTCCCCTCTCTCCCTCAGCCCTTCCCTCTGCTCCTGGACCCTCAGAGAGAAGCAGGGAAGATAAAGCATGTCATTATTCTATTAAAGACCTACAATTTTTGTAATGGGACTTGCAGTGGTCGACAGAAGTGCAGGCAGCTTCTTCAATATCCTGGACATTATTTGCTCGTTTAGTTAAATGATGTTTCTGATTCTCTCATAATTACTCGTAATGAGGCTGTCTCCCTCGTTTTGATGCGGCTACATCTTAATACAGCATGGCATTCTTTTTTAGGGATAATTACCTCTCATGAGGCTGGGGGAGCAAGCCTGCGGTTTGCTGTACGCTGCACACGTGGCAAATTGGCTTGTTTCCTGCCATCTTGTCTTCCTGCAAATTGGTAAATTAAGTTTCTCGGTTGGAGCATTAGAACTGTTAAGTGTGCTTTCTTGCCTCCTTCAGATGGTTGGCTTCCCTGACAGACAAACAATTATGCACTTTGTGTTTTGTCTCATAAACATTTGTTTATAAAGAGTATATGGTAACAGATATAGAGGCCCTATAAACAATTTGTTTTAGGAAGCAGATTTGATATTTTCTGGACATGTATTTCACATCAGAGCAGATCTCAGAGCAGTTAAACTAATGTAAACCAGTGATGATACTGATTTATCTCCAACAGTTACAATGCAAATAGAAACACTGCCAGTGTGTAATCAAAGGTTTGAAAGACTTTTGAGTCTCAGTTGAAGAGTCTTTTTTCATACAACCTTTATTTATACAGGTTAATCCCATTGAGCCCCAGGGACTCATTTACAAGACAGACCTGGTTTTAACAAAGACTGATGACAACAGTGGACAACAAAGACAATAATAAACAATCATAAAGGATGCACACAAATTGAGATTTTTTTTTTTAAACAAGTGAAAATAAAATTGTATTTAAATGGAAAATTAACAAAAAAACAACAACAAACAAACAAACAGCTAGGTTGTAAGGCAGTGTAGAAAACTAAAAACAAGAACATGTCTGCATTGGTTTTTGCCAGGAACTTAACAGATGTCAAAGCCATTCAGAGAGGTCAAGGTTGAGAACTTCAGATCTTTTTGCAATATATTCCAGGAAACAGGAGCAGAGTAGGAGAAGGACCTTTTGCCTAGTTCAGTCTTCACTGAGGGAACACTGCATGTAATAATGTCCTGAGATTGCACGCTGTAGCTGCACTCACGCAGTGACATGTAGGAGGAGATGTATGAAGGCAGCAGACCAAGAAGTGATTTAAAGATTAAAATGTACCCATGAGAGAGTCTGCGTGAAGTTATTCATGTCCAGTTAACCAGTGAATACAGGGCACCATTTGAGGCTAAAATCAAAAGAAGAACTGCTGGGACCGACTTCCTGTTTGATAAAAGCATCCCTTTGGTTTTGTCAGTGTTTAGGACAAGTTTGAGACAGAACAAATCAGACTGCATGATGTTAAAAGCAGATTGCAAAAGCTGGAAAACCTTAGCAACTGTTTTAGCTCGACAATAAACAATGGTGTCGTCAGCATAGA